GGCAGACGACCTTCCTCTTCTGTCGTCGTTCATTTCAGTTCAACTTTAAGATATTTATTTAGGAAGTTGATTTAATTTAGTTCCTTGACGAACTTTTAATTGCGTTAATTCTCGTTTTATCTTTAAAGTAACCAAATCAGGTAGCGCTAAACTTAGTGCTAGCATTGTTTCCAGGGTTTCTAAAATATTGTTTATCGTTATTTATTTTGTAAAACGGGCATTCAGTAGTATGACCTTTTATTAATTAGTTCTGTGCCCCACAATTACGCTTGAGCGTGGTTATGAATTTCTGTGTGCATGCGGTTTGCACTCCTGCGATTGGCCGGTTACCGTGACTGCAGGTAAAACCAAGCTCTGAGATTATGCGCTAATCAGCAAGATGACTGTTATGCACCGCTGTTACGTATGGCACCTGTGGCTAATTTTAGTCAGTATAGGGTTAATCATGTCCTCAGAGGGCAGTCCAAAATACTTTCTTCACTGCTAGCGCCTCCTTTAAATAGCAGTCGAATGGTGGCCGGATTTTCGAGTGTAGTTTCTAAAACTTCATGGGGATTTCGATATACTGCCGAGTAGTAGAAGGTGAAGGTTCAATGAAGCTGGTGTTCATTTTTTTATGGTCAACTTAGTTGTTTATTTATCCACTCATGTACAAAACAATGACTTTTGGCCCACGGTAATCTTTCGTGTTATTTCGATGTTTCAGCTTCATGCAAGAAACGCTCGAGAGGGATTTTAGAAACAATTCTTAACGTCTCAGTTGTGAATAAGATGAATTACTCAAAAAATCTGCGTAATGGTGGAAATGTACAGCAGAATTAAAATGGAATGAGAACTGACAAAGGTGTACAGGTGATACTGATTCAAAACTAAAGCTGTGCATGTATTAAGCATAGAAAAAATTTAATTTATGAACTTTCGAGCAGAGCAGATGCCATCTGAACTGGTCTAATTGCTGTACATATCTTTTTATTAAAAAAATAATAATTAATGAGAACCATGAGCATGTTCTTTTCATAGTCGAAGTTACGTATCATAATAAGTAAGACTTTCGTGAAAATGTCATTATTTCGTTGAAAAGATGAATAAATTTGTATATTTGATGTGGATTGTGGTTTTCTGTTTATCTGGGATCACCTTCAACCGTTTACTTAAGTAAAATTCGTCTGGTTCGTAATGTTCGCTGTATCAGCAGCTTTTTAACGCTTTTGCTATAAGACACTAGTTACTGCCCCAGAAATAAATATTCCTCTCCGAAAGCAGGTTTGCCTCTACCTTGTTCCTCCATGTTGCATGCTAGCTAGCTTCATGTCTGCCGTGTTTCGGCTCCCATAGGAGTAGCTCACGGGCTGGAATAAATGGTATACGCTCGACCAGTTTGGCAAGGGCCGAGTCTCCTTTTCTTAACCTTCATATTTTCAGAGGTCGCGGTCACTTGTGCTCATACGATAATAGAGTCATTTCTTAGATAATGCTGTCGTAAAACATTCATTATGCGCGTAGACAACGCTGCCGTAAGCAGTTAAACCGTCTTTTTAGCTTATTCGTTAGAACAGTTGTCTCCATGCCGTACAAGACCTGACACAGACAAGGTATAGGCGGATTTTCGTGGGAAGACTACTTTTTCAGGCCAAATATTGGATGGGTTTCCAATCGCACTCGAGGCTACGGCGGTTTTCCTGTTTAATTCTGGCTGGATATTACCAACGCTGCAGATGATAAAGCCGAAATACTCAAGTGATACATCTCCTGAAGAGCCTCATTTCTTTGCTCCACTTGTAGATCAGTTGTGCTAGATTCCTCATTACCTATGACTTCCATGCGTTAAAGATGAGACCGACTTTTGTAGCTGTCACTTAACAGAGCCCGCTGCCTGTACTACTCACCGATGCAATGCCGTTTGCGTCCTTATATCAGTCAGATATCTAGCCAGATATCTTGAACTGAGCCTTCCCTTTAAAATAAGGCCTTCTTTGCCAGGATCAGCACTGTTTCTCGGAAGAAATCAGTGCACAATGTTGAATAGCATAGGCAATAACACCTTCCCTGACGAACTTCACAGTGAATACGGAACCACTCAGATCGCTTTCATTCGACTTTTGACAACGTACATGGTTCCTTCTAACATTAAAGCGATGTATGCAGGTATTCCATAGCATGTCAAGATTTTCCACTTCCTCAGACGATGTGCAGACTTAAATGCAGTCTTACGGTCGAGGAAATTGGCAAACCAAATACAAGTTTCAACGTCAACGGCATTGTTCATTGATCGTTCGCGAAGGCTGAAATTTGATCAGGTTTGGAACACCCTCTCAGGAAGTCTGTTTGATTTGGGCGAAGTCTCGCATTTATCGCATGGCTCAACATTTCTAGAAAAATTCAGAAGAAACGTTTATCGGAAGTAGTCTTGACCACGATAGTTGGGACGTTCAAGTGCCATCCCTCATTGAATATAGGGACAGTTACTCCAGTCACTAATTGTTGAAGATGGTGGTGGTTCACTATGATGACTTTAGATTTTCTGATTGAATTGTGAATTTATTTAGTTGAGAGTCGGTTTTTTTTTTTGCATAATTGTTTCTAATGTGTATTTTAAATGCGTTTTGCTCATTTAAATGATTTAGTTTTTTATAGGTCTAAGAATAAAAGCCGTAGCCCAAGTTCAAGACACAAGAGGAAAAAGCACTGATGGATTTTCGTTTTTTTTTTCGAGTTGGCCATTCTTCCGGTTGGTATTTAACTGTACAATATATTCGAGATGTGCTCAACATACTGTTAACATGAAATTTCTGATTTCTTCGCTAAATAACGCATTTGAACGCGTTCTGTTCTCCGATCACCGTTTATGGCGGGTCAGGTTATCAGAATGATTCATACCTTGTTTCCTGTTTTGATCATCAACGTACCGACGGAGGGTCGTTCACCTTTCTGTGCACAGATTCGGTGCACTAGTTCAATGCGGATTACGGCTACGTGCATGCCGTAAATGCAGATCTTTGTTGCTTAACGAACGCAAACAAGAATCGTACCTGAGTTGTTGTTATCCGGCGGATCATGTGGATAATAAAACAATGGAAATTTTGTTCATGTCGCTGGAAAATTATTAAAACAGAGTGTTGAATTTATTCTTCTGCGCTAACGTGCTTTAGTTCGAATACAGGTGGTGTAGGTGAAGGTGCTTTTCTTGATTCCTGATCGACATACTTCAAAAGTCGTTTGCACACCTTTAATTGATTATTACTAAGTTATTGTTTAAGTTGTATGAATAAGGCGCTCACAACTGCATAAGTACTGCAGAACCAGTATATCAGTTCGTATGCTAATATGTTAATGGAATGTATTAGTTTGCTCCCGAAGAGCTCATACACAAATTAATGTGTTCGTGTGTAGCAACCCATTTTTGATGTGTACGATGTACGATATAACGAACCGGCTCTTTAGACGTTTGTGAGTATAGAAAGATGTTGTTGCTGGCAAAATTATGCGAATCGATTCGAGCATTCCATGTACTGAAATATGTCCTGTTTTAAACTACTTAGGTAGTTGGGTGTAATGGGAGCACGGTGCAGTGTCAA